AACATTGAATGGGGGGGGGGGGGAAGGGGGGAGGCCTTAAAAAATGCATAAAAATTTATCGTCGTCCTACGGTTTATGGCCAAGATTGTGCAGATCCTCCAGTAATAGGAAACAGATCCAGACCTGATCAACCAGCGTCGCATGTTGAACCTCTGCCATCTCCTGATGATCCTTTATCTGGTGTAAAGATTCCATGCTTTGGTGACCACTTGACAAGAGTACGACTTGCAGGTGCCAAGGACCTTCGGGCAGGTTGCCATTCAGCTCAAGAGCGACTTGACCATCTCTATCCTTTTTGTATTGTGGACTGGCATACAAAGAGAAGTTTCTTGAAGGTAATTACATGTATAGTACAAATGCTGCATATGTATATTGAAGTGTTTAGCTCATTAAAATGATATATGCCAAAATTGTCAGGTTTCAAAATCAAATAACAAACACACCAAACTTTATTATTTCACTCTGTTAATACCAGACGCTTTTGGTTATCAAGGGGAGAGCCTTGTGCATTATTAGGTTCAGGGCTGTATGCAGGAGTTTTTCAGTAAGAGCTATATGCCTAAAAAAAGTCCCAAATATCCAAAGAATATAAATAATGTCATTCTAAAAATTGTAAATATAGTTTTCTCTGGGGGGCAGTCCCCCTCTGTGTACGGCCCTTATTAGGTTAGCCAAGCTATACAGTAGATCTGTCAATGTGTCTCTTGTTAAGAGACAGACTGAGCTCCACATGGACCAAGGCCTCTTTGGGGTCCTGGAATTAATATTAGACATGAAAAAATCTTTCGCGTTGAAACTTGCTCTAATAATCTTCATCCCTCCCTTGTTGACACAGTTACACAATTGCACATGCATGGGCCTGGATGGTACTCCTGACCGAGGCCCAAAAAGCTGTCAATCTGACCCTGTTAGTGAGTTGCAGTCTGCTTCATTAAGCTGCAGAGCTTCCCCATTGAAAAGTAAAATCGTCTGGCATTAGACAAGTAAAAAAAATAAGTAGGGCATACTGGGGTGCATTGCCGCTCAATGGGTTAATATTTTATAGGCATTGTCAAATCTCATTTGGTTACTCATTTGGTACTAGAGAGGTGTAACCTTAAAATTTTCAACAGACTTGTTCATTTTATGGGGCTGTTTCAAAATACTGTAAATTGCAACAAACCAGTAGTTGTATTTTGTTCTTCTACTGTAGTCTGCTCACAGCCCAATTCAAAACAAATTGAGGCTGGTAGCAGGCTATATCAGAGGTGTAACTTAACACTTGCCTGGGGCAAGTGAATATCATGATGGGCAAGTAAACATGTTATCTTGCTTACCCGATTGGGCTAGTTGCCTTGCCACAAAAAGCTGGGCATCTTTAAGTTTATGAATTCAAAATAACAGTAACTCTGAATAACATTTTGATTTTTAATTGATGTTTTGACTAGTTTGTAGTCATCCGCAGGATTTATTAATTAATAATTATTGATAAATTAATAAATCCTGAGGATGACTAATAATTATTAATCCTGAGGATGACTACAAACTAGTCGAAACGTCAAATCGGATTAAAAATTGAGATGTTATTGGTTGCTGTTATTTTGTATTTTCTTAAAATACTGAGTGGTTCCCGTAATTATTTAAGTTTATGTTTGCATTGTTGAGTAATTTTTTTATAGTGCATGTACTTGATTCAAAGTTGTTTTTTTGTGGGCCAAAGCTAGATCTGAGGCAGCATAACAGCCATATAGAGCTGCAGTTGGAGAACAGGTCAACAAGTTTTCCCCTTAATTTATACCCCTACCTGGGTACCCCTGTGGCCATTGTCTGATGGCAAGTGAATTTTATTCAGGGCAACTAATTTTCATGTCCAAACTTGCCCTGAAGGCAAGTGGTCAAAAAAGTAAAGTTACACCACTGTATATGTTCTCTATTATACTAGGTTTTTTTACCTGAGCAATTAGTGCTAATTCACACCATTATTATTCTGTTGTAGACTCTATTCAAAAGGCTTTACAAAAATTTGGGTAGGTTAACACAGTTAACTGGAGTGGGGGGCATGGAAAAAATGTCGAAATAGATTTGTTTCAAGAGAACAGAAACAAGGATATGAAGTACATGATCAAGTCAATGCGGGCTAACAAAACTGAAAAGGCAATCCACAGATCAAGCAAGGCAGCTGGAGGGGTGAAGCAAATTGTGGAAGCTTTCACGAAACAAGTTTCCATGCATCAGAAATCTTCATCCCATTCCCATAAATCATCAGTTTGAGACGAAAAAATGATTATGGCAGACCTAAGATGTCTGAGGCCATTCCATCAAGTCGGCGGGAGGAAATTTGATTCCTTTGAAGAGGTATCTCACAACCCTACATCTTCACTTGACAAAGAAAAATTTGTTGCATGGATAAACTCCCACAAAAAGAACATGTTGATGCATTTTCCTAGTTCTGAAAGTGGTACAGAAGATTCAGAAGAGGAAAGCTAAGAAAAATAAAAACAGTACATGTAGTAATGTAAATGCTTTTATAATAGTAAACCCTTTCACTATTGCCATTATTAACCCATACTTCCTTCATTTGTTATGTTAGCTACTTCAATTTGTGATATGGTTTCAAATGATGTACGTAATATGTGTCTAAGTGTAAAATGGAGTAAAACGTTTTGCCATTTTAGACAGATTAAAATAGTGTTGGGTGCATTGCAGGAGTTGATACTGTATATATCACTATCATAACAGTTTATAACAATAAATGTAAATAGTCAAGGATAGACTAACTAAACTATTTATTTATAGAACATTTATACAGTTTGTAATGCATGCACAATACAAGTGTAAGTAACATGTACATGCTTTCAAATGCCAAGGTGCTTTAAACCGTGCTGCTCACAAAGCAGATTGTTAAGGTAAGTTTACACACAATGATTAATTGGGCAGACTTAATTGAAAGATATTCAAAAAATATGCTGTCAACATCATCTGACGACATCGTCAACTGACAACATTGGTCATTAATATTTGGCAAAACCTGAAATCGTTCTGTGTAATGTAGCCCAATTAATCGTTTTGTGTAAATGTAGCTTAACTAATTGACAAATTAAACTTGTGGTGATTTAATATATTTATATAAAAAACAGGACAATTGTTCACACTATGTTTTATGTGAACAGGTATATAAATATCAATTAAAGTTTTTCCATGAGGATGCTTAAACATGTTGTGCATGTGCACTTTTCTTTACAAATGTTACAGCAAGAATGCATTGGCTTAATAGGCTGTGCTTTAGTGAAATCAAGTGACTTAAGCATCTGATATCTCAATCAGTACTGTTGCAAAACCCCCTCATTTCATCTTGCATTCCCATTCTGTTTTTCCAATGTCTCTGTTGTTGTAATACAAAATTACCTGGGCAGGTTGTCCATCTCTTCCAGCCCTCCCAGTTTCCTGAAAGTATGCCTTAAGACTGCATGGTGGACCAATATGGTTTACTTGCCGTATAGATGGTATGTCCACACCCATCCCAATTGCAGCAGTTGCAAAAATGACACGAACAATGCTCATTGAAGAACAAAGGTTTACAAAGAATTTGTTCTTTCATTTGCTTGGTTTGAGATGCATGAAACTGGGCAAATAACCTGTTCTCTGGTACTTCTGAAGAGTCCTGTGGGTAACACTGAAAACTGCCCAACACCGATTCAAAAAGCTTGTATGCAAATCCACACCATTTTAAGGGAACATATATGACTGTAAGGGGATATTGGATTTTGTCATTTAATAACTTCAGTGCTATTGGTCTCAAAATATGTTCCATCGCCTCGAGATCTTGTCCGAGTCGAAACACTTTCTCGTACAAAATGTTTTTTCTTTCAGGATTGCCAATAACATTTTGACATTTCTTTAAACCCAATGATTCCACGATATATATCCTATCTTGCTGGTTAGCAGTTGCAGTCATAGCAAATACTGGAACATCAGGATATATTGCACAGAGAACCCCCAGCTTGCTGTAGTCTGGTCTGAAATCACTACCCCTGTTATCAAGCACAAATAAAAACAAATAGATATGAATATACTATTTGTATAATATAATATATATCTGTTACTACACTTATACAACAGCTTAATAACCATTACCCCTGTAACATAAAAGAAAAAACTTACCATTCCAAAATACAATGGGCCTCATTAATAACAATGGCGACTATATTCTCCTGATACGTCGGACTCTGTAGCAATTCACGCCCATAGTTGCAAGAGATAAAGGACTCAGGGTGTGCAAAGACATGGTAATAACCAGTGCGTAGTTTATCCTCGTCACAAAGGGGAAGATCACATTCGAGCGAACCAAATTCTCTTTCTTGTTGTAATACTTTCACACCCAGAACTGATGCTCGTATGCCAATTAATCCAAGTCGAGAGATGTGGTTGCTTATTATAATGCATTCAGTGGTGATACAACGATAATTAGCAACTTCTCTTTGGCAAATAACAACCCAGGAAGAAGATGGAAAATTAATGACTTTCCATAGCCAGTAGGAAGGATGCAAATAATATCTCTTTTCAAATATAAGTGTTCCTAACTTATTACTTACTTTGGTTTCAATATAGTATTAAAATAAATACTATTACAAATAGCAAACTGCAAACATGAGAAAAAAGCAATGTATTCCAACATATGGCGGCTTGCAGTGACAATAAAATTCGAATACCCTACCCCCCATGAAGGAATACAAATCGTTTTGCCCCCACTCGCTTTGCCCCCAAGTCATTTCGCCCCCAAGTGGCTAAGTCGATTCATCTCAACGTTTCGTTAAGAATAAACTGTAAAGAATAAACCATCGAAATAATAGATATATCTATTATTATATGTCCATATATCTATTATTTCTATTTGCAAGCTACCGTTACGTGTGCAATTTTTTTCGTAAATGTTTACGTTTCAAAATTTTATATTGTCTGTTTCATTCCACAAATATTTGAAGGATGAGTATAATACCGGAATTGAGTAATTTTTCTATTTATAATTTGATATTCTTTCATTTTGAAAGAATATTGTTTCGTTCGGTTATTGTCAAAAACTAATCACCGTTCCGGGAATTGTTTCGTTCATCCATTGTAAACTGAACTAATCATCGCGTTGATCACCGACTTTGTCAAACTTTTTCGCGCTTTTGCTTCCGTTTGAAATGTTATGTTTTGTCAGTAATTCTGTCACTTTAATAGTGAATAGGTTTTTGATTTTTGCGTGTTTGCCATTTGATCCATTTGTCCACGATACTCGCAAATATGGGCTAGCTTGTTAGTTTGTAAGAGATAATTCACTAGCTCACTTGGGGGTGAAACGACTTGGGGGCGAAACGACTGGGGGCGAAACGACTTGGGGGCGAAACGACCGGATACCCCATGAAGTGAAATTTGATCTGGGTGCCACGTGACCAGCTCCGACCAGGGTCTTTCCTTCCCCGAAGAAAGAGCCTGGGAACGAGGTTGATATTGATGGTTACTTATTTATGGTTGTTGGTTGCTGGAGGTTGGATTGATTGATTTAGCGGTTGCTTCTGTGCCTACGTCAGCAACTGGTGGCACTTGGGACATTTAAAGATCTTGTGTTGCTTGTTGGTCTGTTGATGATGGTACATGTTGGATTGGAGGAGTTGGGAGTGGAGCCGTGGTATCGTCATTCTGGAGTGATTAAACTTCGATTCTTGTTGATCTGGTCTGCTATTCATGCGATGCATTGCATTGTCAAATAACCACTTGTCAATTCCACACATTATGGCGGGAAGGGATGAGGTCGAAAATTTGAATTCGTTGTTGCACATTGTCGTCTTCAGTTCCGAAATCATGGACGTTGTTGGATGTGATGTAGAAGGGGCTGAAGCAGTTGACACATCTGGGTTGACCATGCTTGACGGCAGTTACCATCCAGCCACCTTGCAGGTTTGTCTTTGCAAGATCAGAATTTCTGGTGTTTGGAGACCGTTCATCAACGATGATTAGTTGCATTGCAGCAGTGATCAATGTATTCGAGGGAAATTATTCAGTGGAATATATTTGCCCACAACATCTTGGCTGAATCACGGGGTCCTGCGACAACCAATTTCCTTGTCTTCTGTGCCATTTTGCATGCCACTAAACATTGGAAAAATTTGTTTAGGAAATTCAAACAAACTTCTTTGTCAGGGAAGGAGTTGTACATACCCTTTGCGAAAGTACCAAGGTTCAGGTATGGAGGAACAGTCATATGGGACGTAGATTCACAGTGACAACTTGCCAATTTGGGATTCCCCAATAGGATTGTGTAGGGAGGCTTGGAGGGAGATAGTGAAGCAAAATCTGTTGGACACTTTAATCAGATTGAAATCGAAATGTATCTGTTGCACAATCTCGCATGCTGGATGGTACAAGATGCTTTCCACAGTGCTGAAAAGTCCTTGGCAAGGAACTTGTTCAGATAGCTGGAAACGTCCATTAATTTCACGCACGTCAGCTGGGCTCTGTTAAGTCTTGCATCAATATCGCCATGATACAAGGCGTGCTTACACAACTCCATGACGCGTTCAATTTTGCAGATCGTTGATATCACCTCGTTTGAAGATGCACCAGATGCGAGTGTGTCCGACTTGGCGTCTAACGTCGTTTCCACCACAAGACCCTCAAATTCGAGTTTTTTCATTGCGTTGTCGAATGCTTCCAGGAATCCACCATGATTGACTATGACAAAACAACAAGGGACAGTTGGAAAGTGTTTTGGATGGAACTCTTCATCTTCACTTTCCACCTCACTTGATGAAACTGATGCATTGCGATAGCAGTACATGTTGGATACATCAATAATGTCCTGTATTGAATGATTGTTGTGGTCTTTTACCACTTGGAGCTGCCATTCTGTATTGACCGATTGTTGTGGTCTTTTACCCATTTGGAGCTGTTGTTTCCATTCCTTGGTTGCCATGATTTCTCAACCCTATAGGATTTATCGTTGGTTTGAGGTTGTGGTTGTGTAACATTGCAAAAAACGTGTTGTTGTTACACTTGTCAATTCGCTCATACACAATGAAGAATGCAACGCAAGGGTATGTGTTGTTTTCTGCACGTGGGCTGTCCTGTTCGCTTCTTGTTTCCTTCGAGTTGGCATTTATAGCATCATCGAGCAAGCATTGCAAGTTCAAGATCGTCTTTGTGAACTCTTCAAGTTGCGTGACACACAACTGCTCAATGGTTTTTGCTTGGTCTAACAGATATAAAACAGCGAATGTTCACGCTTTATTTGTGAATAAGACTCTGAGAGTATTTATCAAAATATGGTATATTCGTGTTGAGAAACATTAATTTATACAAACAATAAAAAGCTAATTCTTTTGTGGCTTCAGTGGCATTTTGTCCATTGATACGATACAGTGTAGAGATTGTGATGTTTGAAAAAACAATTTTTAACGCTTTATAACAATTTTTACAATTTTTAAATTATATTTTTGCATAATATTTCTGTAATTTGCATAGTAAAATTATTACCACCATTACTCTCATTCTCATCATCATTACAATTACTTCCATCACAACCATCGTCATCCCCATTATTACCATTGCCGCCACCATCATCACCATTATTACCATTGTAACCATCGCTGTCATCACTTCCATCATCAACAGGATTGATATGATTGTCATTGCTATCATTAATCCCCTAATGCTGATGCCTCCATAACCAGTACTATGACTGCTATTATCAAGAGTGAATAACTGCTCATTCTTTCTCGGTCTGTATCAGAGTTAGCCACATTACCAGAGTTAGCCACATTACCAGAGTTAGTCATTCTGTGATATGGGTGATTTAGGAAATGCTTACATACAGTCTGTCTGTCCCGTAATCGACCAGAGCATAACCGACAGTTACATACTTGTTTGTTATAAGTTGGGGATTCTACAATTGCAGAAGTGAAATATATTAAATAATGTTTAATGAGAACTGGTCATAAAGTATAGGGATTGGGGGGGGAGTTATGAAAATGGAATTTTTGAAAGTCTAATTTTGGAAGTCAGTCTCATATGGCTTACTAGCACAAAGTAGACATGGGTGTAGAAAGATTGTCAAACTTTGGGCTGGGGTGACTATGAGAAATGGCACTTTTATTTATATATATATTTATATATTTATATATATTTATACATATATTTATATATATTTATATACATATATTTATATATATTTATATATATATATATTTATATATAATTAGATGACAAAATACAATATTCGTATCAGCCAGTTCGACATTTATATACAACAGAATAGCTGGCTACGATCCGAGAGAAACCAATATTAAAAATGTACTAAAGTAATAAAGTTTTAATAATTTTCGACTGAATGTCTCAGCCTTCCTCAGAAATAATCAGATTATTTCTGAGGAAGGCTGAGACATTCAGTCGAAAATTATTAAAACTTTATTACTTTAGTACATTTTTAGTATTGGTTTCTCTCGGATCGTAGCCAGCTATTCTGTTGTATATTTATATATACTTATATACATTTATATACATTTATATACATTTATATATATTTATATATGCTGGTTGTGCGATCAGTAAAAGACATGTTTTTGTTTGTTGTAACTGATCTATTATATACAATTAAAAAAGGTAAAAAGTTTTCTGAATTTTCGGCTGCTGACTGCGACCTTCCTCAGAGTTAAAATGTCAAGTTGATTTGAACATGCTTATAAGTACTTAGCACATAAGCAAATTTACAAGGTATGCAACAAAGGCAAATAAGTTTGTGGGAAAATTTTACGCTCATTAACTGCCATTGTCTCCTTTGTTGAGTGTGTGTAATGACTCGGGAAATATACGTTTGTCATAATTATGTACGCTCCTCTCTAAAATTTCTGCATCCCCAGAGCATACTTTGTGTCCAATTCGTTCTGCATGTTCCTTTATAGCCGACTCAATTTGCGGTCTTGTTCCCGGTTTATGTTCAGCCCAGCGGGATTTCCATGGTCTTTTACTTTCTCCAATGTAAAGGAAATTACATGCTTTACACTTGAATTTATAAACAATGCCTTCGGTTTTTTGAACATTCTGCCCAATGTTGTTAGTGGCTTATATGCTGTTCTGATATTGGCACCAGTCAAGATTCGGTTGACTCTCTCAGAAATGCCTTTGACATATGGGATACATGCATAACCTTTGGGCTCAGCAACAGAAGTTGGATTGTTCGAACTTTTGGGTTTACTTGCAACACTGTTTATAAAAGCAGATGTGTAACCATTTACACTTAAGGCCTTTCAAACATTTTGTTTCTCAGCTATTTTCCCTTGGATAGTATTCGGAATTTTATAAGCTTGATCAAACAACGTTTTAACCACTGGACACTTAACCGTTGGACACTTTAATCAGATTCAAATCAAAATGTATCTGTTGCACAATCTCGCATGCTGGATGGTACAAGATCCTTTCCACAGTGCTGAAGTCCTTGGCTAGGAACTTGTTCAGATAGCTGGAAACGTCCATTAATTTCACGTACGTCAGCTGGGCTATGTTAAGTCTTGCATAAATATCGCCATGATACAAGGCGTGCTTACACAACTCCTGTAAAAACATTAAAAATACAACAAGGCAGTACGAAGATATGGCGATTCAAAGTTAAAAAAAATCTATTTTTAGTAACAAAATGGCTGATTTTTCAGTAAAAATAGAACTTTGAATCGCCATATCTTCGCACTGCCTTCTTGTATTTTTAATGTTTTTACTGTTTTGAGATCCTTATAGGACAATCTCTTCAAAAAAGTTACTAGCATGTTCTTAGCTCGTGTTTAATTTTTTGGCGCCAAAGTTTGCATGTCATTTTCCCGCCAAAGTGTAACAAAATCGAAAAACAAAAAACATACGATTTTTAGGAATGTTAAGTTCTAACCTGTGAGGGAGTTTCGTGATATTCCAAACTAACGACAGAAAGTTATATGTACGTGGCCAAATTTGCTGTCTTTTTTGCCCATCGTGAATTATTACAAGAGAAAGTGACAGTTGTTGTTTTCCCCTTGCTGTCATTGCTCATTGACCAATGCCAAAGGTTTCGTTCAAAGGGAATACCTGTCGGTTATGTTATGTCTGAGGAAGGAGAAATGCATTACATAAGCTATCATCCAGCCCACTTGAGTACAAGTTCTTATTTGTCACCCCAGAGACTTTACTGTCAAACGAAACTTTGTCACCATTGCAAGACTTGGCTGAAAAGCAGTTACTTAATTTCATTGTGATTGATGAAGCACATGGGGATTTAACTTCAGGTCCAGTCATCAGGAACTTTGGAAATTAAAGGTATTTGGAGTGCCTATTGTTGCTATGGCAGGTAAGCTGGAACGACCCCATTGTAAACCTCCTAGTATAGAAAACTATGTTCAAGAGTCGGGTCGAGCAGGAAGAGATGTAACAGAAGCTCACTGCATAGTCTTTTTCAAGTTTGAGGACAGGACTATACATTTGAAGAACATGTCAGCCCTACCCAATGGAGATGAGAAATAACAACGCCTAAAAAGTCTAAATCACATGGTAAATTACTGTATGATTCCTTCATGCAGGAAGTCACAACAATTCCCCTCATTGGTCATCTTGGGTATGACATCATCACTGGCATCATCAGAGATATCGTTCTCCTTCAAACAAAACCACATCGCGTTTAGTTGATCATGGATAGGGTCTTGCTCATTGTGCCGGGACGTAGGTGAACATCAAATGCACTAGGGCTGGAATACGCTGCTTGTATGTTTGCTGCATGCCTCGATATTAAGCATCAACCGTTTCAGCATGTTTTGATGCTTGAGTGACCCTGCAATACAATTCCCCATAATTTTAAGAATATTTTTTTACTTAAAATAACCATACTTAAGACCCATTTGTACTTGCAATTTTTGAATGAGTGGACAAGGTTATGAATGAGTGTGTGTATATCATCTGAACATTCATAACTTACTGATCAAGTTGGCATTAGAAGAAAAATCACACCGAAAATTGCAAATGTAAACAGGCCTTGATAGTAATACAGTGACAATACAAAGGGGAAAAATCACTACCCTAAGTTGAGCACGATTGTAAAGAAGACATGTAATGTATTTTATTTTGCAATGTTAAAACGCATCACAACATTAAAGTAACAAATTTGAAAAGAACCAATTTTACAATGAACCTAATACGTTTTTAAACATAACTGATATGAAACGGTTGTGCAAAATGCATTTATCATGGAAAACCTCACTTGAAAATTCATTTGTGTTTTTTTAAACTTGGAACAATTATAATACCATTGGTTATTACCGATATTCACGGTGATGAAAATATTTTTATATAACTGAAGCATATTTCTTTAGCGGTAAAACTATGTTCATTTCTTCCCATTCATCCAGAGCTAAACAATGCCCTTGTCTACCTTTCACATTGACCGAACAATTGTCTCGACGTTTAAAATCTAGAAAACCTTCGAGTGTAGGATGATACCAACACGGCAGCTCTTTGCTGGTCATGGTCATCATACCTTTACCCATTCTCGCCACACTATCATCGGGAGTGTCGTCCTCATTGTCGATGAGTTTGTCTTCGATCGAAGTCATTTTCGTCGATGGGTTTTTGTGGCACTTCGACTTAAATCTCATTCTCGTCGACAGATTTATGTCCGTCCTTTTCGGTATTTATTTCTTCTTCGTCGCTGTCCGAAACATCTGCAATATCCTGCAACCACATCCTGCTCATCTCTCACATACAATAACAACACACATCAAATCCCCCAAAATATGCAACCAAATTGGAGAGATCAGAACCACGACCAATAGCAACAAGCAAGATAATAAAGTGTGACTCAAACCTCCATACCATAAGTGCATCTAGCGTAAACACTACCCAATCCAATAGGAATTGCTATAGGCACAGGTGGGGATTTAACATTTGAGCATCTTATTTGCATTTCCGTTTCCACCACATAGAAGCACACTTTAAACACGGTTCAAATTTCACATTTATACACCAAACACTATCTCCACATGATTATCACGGGTAGTGATTTACCATTTAAGGGAAACTTGTTGCGCATGCGTAAAACCTACTTCGTTGTGCAAAGCGTTTATTTCTCACACACAGATACAACTAGCAAGATGATGAACGCAGCAGAGTGTAATAAATACGAACGGTTGTACTTTCACAACAACAACAACAGCAAACAATCATAAATATCATAGTCACGAATAATCCCGATCAAAATTTCAACCAATACAAACCATTGTTGTTTTACAAATGGACACGGAGGTAAAAAATATGGCACAAATCGCCATACTCCATCCACAGGAATGTATACAAGTCATTACGGTAAGAAATGAAAAAATAACACTTTTTTCCTCAAAAACTTATATTTTCCTCTTCCTTACAGGCCACAGACAAGTCGCCTTTACCACCCTTGGGATTTTTAAAGAAATTATCCTACAACGAATTTATGAAAAGAAGTAAATTGAATCATCCACGGGAAAAATTCAAAGAATTTGTGCCCCTTGTAAGGTAATTTAGTTGCTGATCGCAGCATAAGACAACGTCATCACAATAACGACTCATCAGTATTGCTCACAATGCCACGCAGAGGGTCAAAACATACCCATCGACAACAAAAAAAGACCATACTTTCACAACAATAGCAACATAACATTAACCGTAGTACTTGTGGGGAATCACTCGAAGAATGTCTTCTTCTGAATACGGTAAATAGAAAAAATATTTAATCTACATACAAAAAAATCTCACCCCACACTCAAACTAAGCTACCTCGAGCAACATGTCACAAAGAATAGAGCCCGAAAATCATCCGATATCAATAAACAAGTTCGACGAAGAACTCGAAAACATATACATTCGCATTGACGCAAACGAAAAGTATTACATCATTCTAGTTCCACCTAGTTACAATCCCTTGGATTTTTCACCACAGATGCTAGTTGTCACAGTTCGAGGCCTAAAAACACATCGATGTATGGGTAGTATCGAAAATTTTTTTATGGAGATTCCTGCTGAATACAACATCTCGCCATGCGCGACAAATGAACAAATCTTGGAGTCATAAGTACGCTTGTCTTAGAGGCAATTTCTCGAACATTTCCATAAGCGAACAATCACCGTCGTTGTCGCACAAAATCTCCTCGATTTGAAAATTTTTCCGTACTCAAATGGTTCATGATACAAATCGGATTGAAAAATCATATCGTAATCGTTCCAATGTCGAAGTTTGTAAAAATATTTATCCTGTCTTACATGTCCCATACACAAACTCCAAAACTCGTGCTCCTTACGCCAATACGGCCGCACAGGCGGGTCATAAATAAGTGCTACATGTGTAATGTCTGTATACAGATAATCTACATAGTACCAATCGAAAAGACTCGATCTATCTAAATAACACAAACCTATTATATCGTTGCCAAGTTTCTTCAAAGCCCAATCAATATCCACGTGTTGATAACGAGATGCCATCACATTGCCCACCCGTACTAAACTGACGCAACTAATACATGTGCATATGTAATTTAAAAATCTAGAAAAATGCAAAGATAGAAGATGCTGACTGCAACAAAATTTTCGAGATGATCTGGAAAAGAAGAATTTCAAGCTGGACAAACAAACAATGACAACCCTAAAACAAAATACTTTACTGTAGAAGATATTTATAATCGATAAACAAATGTAGAAGATAAAACAATCGATAAACAAATAAACATTCTCATATCTATTTCTGTATTCATAATAATCCTCATACATAGCATACGTTCTAGACAGTACAACCTCGTCGTTGCAATACGAATCGTCCTCGATACCACACTCTATCTTGGCAAGTCCGTAAAAAATAAGTATATCTATATATAAATCCCATGCATAGAAATGTGAAAAATCTTTCATAACAACCAAAGCGTCTCACATCCACTCCTCGTACTCTATTTACCGATTGTATTTCTTATGAAGTGGAGTGAAGTTTGCTCATCAAAATATCAGAAGTTTGCTTTCTAAAATCGACGAACTTCGTATATTGTTTGCGGATTTAAATAATAACATACATTTCCTCACATTATCTGAGACATGGCTTGATTCTGATGTTTTGGATTCCGAATTGAGCATTGATGGCTACCGCCTGTTGAGAAACAATCGGAGTAGAAATGGTGGTGGGTTTGCTATATATGTAAGGGAAGATTTGAATGTTGTTGAAAGATCTGACCTAACATCTGATATTGAATCCCTATGGCTGGAAGTATTTCTCCCACACTCTCATGGGTTTTTGTTAGGAGGATTTTATAGACCTCCTAACTCGTCGGATTTTTATGATATTAAGGATTTTATAAGAAAAATGGAAAGTATTATAGAGATTGCTGTTTGCCAGGGGAAAGAGGTTATGATTATGGGCGATTTTAACTGCGACTTCATTGTAAAGAAACCCACTCATCGCGAGACTAAGCACTTAAAATCTTTGTTTAAATAATTTGGTTTTACACAGACCATTGATAGTCCCACGAGAGTGACTTCGGAGTCATCAACTGATTTAGCAGCGACCAATCACCCATGGTGTTTATCCATCATGCCTAAGCGACCACAAGTTAGTTTATGTTATTCGAAAACTGAATAACAAGAAGGTCCCTCCTGTCATTAAGCTTGTTAGAAACTATTCAAAGTACAACAGAGATCGTTTCTGTGAGGATCTGAGATCGGTTGAATGGGAATGTCCCAGCATACCAGAGGATGTTGATAGTCACTGGCAAAACTTTAAGAATTTGTTTATGTCAGTTGCGGACTGTCGCGCTCCCCTGATTGATAAGAAAAAATGCAGAATAGTTCAACCATGGTTAACTAGTGAGATAACTTCTGCCATTCGTGACCGAAATACTCAACTTAAGAAAGCTAGAACATCAAATTGTAGTCAGGATTGGCAACAATACAAGTCAATGAGAAATCGGGTCACTAACCTAATAAGGAAGAGTAAAAATACGTACAATCAGAGATTGATAGAAAGAAATTATAACAACTCCAAGTCCTTTTGGAAAATAGTTAAACAAATCTTGCCTTTCAATATGAAAAATCGGTCATCCTGTATTATGGTGGACGGAAATTTGGTATCCGAACCTAAAAGTATTGCTGAAAGTTTCAACAATTATTTTTGCGAAACAATTCGTCGGTTAGGTCGGTCGTTTACCAGTGCAGTAAGGAATTCATGCAATACCTTGCACAATTTAACTTCATTTACGTCACAGAATAAGCCCATTTTCCAATTTCAAGTTATGACCGGACAATTTACGCAAACTTACCTTCACAATGTAAAACAGGGCAAATCGACCGGTTTAGATAATATGCCTGCCAGACTCATGAAAGATTCCGCTGATATTATAGCAGGACCACTAACTAAAATTCTTAACATGTCTCTGTCTGTTGGTCAATTTCCAAGTGAATGGAAATCAGCACGTATCGTTCCCCTTTTAAAGTCAGGAAAACCCAAGATAATGGATAATTATCATCCCATTTCAATCTTACCTATAGCCTCAAAAATTTTGGAGAGAGCAGTACATACACAACTATACTCGTTTCTGTCTAGTAATAACCTACTTAGCCCATATCAGTTCGGGTTTAGAAAGCAACATTCTACGGAGACGGCTTCTATTTGTTTAACGGATACAATACGACTCAATATGGACCATGGGAGGCTAACAGGTGCAGTGTTTGTTGATTTCAGCAAAGCCTTTGATACGATCGACCATCGAAAACTACTATCAAAGCTAGAAGCGCTCGGAATCAATGGGGCTGAACTGAACTGGTTTACCAATTACCTTTCAGATCGCCAACAGTCTGTTCATTATCAAAATGCATCGTGTGATTCTAGCGTTATAACTTCTGGTGTTCCTCAAGGGTCCATCCTTGGCCCTCTACTTTTTGTAATTTTTGTTAACGAAACGCCTAGCACTGTCTCTCGTTGTAGCGTCATGATGTACGCTGATGACACTGTACTATTTTTTGCATCGCAAAATGTTGAGGAGATGGAGGCTGTTTTGAATCAGGAACTAGACACTCTGTATTTCTGGCTTACTGAGAACAGCCTCTTTTTAAACAAGAAGAAGACCGAGTTTATCATATTTGGTACTTCAGCTAGACTATCGGGCACTCGGAACTGCAATGTGAAAATAGGCGACAATCTAATCAAACGTGTTTCAAGTACCTTGGTGTCATGCTGGATGAGGCCCTGAACTGGAAATTTCATCTTAATTACATAATTTCCAAAGGAAATCAGAGAATTGGTATGCTAAGGACAATATGTGAGGATCTAACTTTGAATGCCGCTAACGTTATGTACAGATGTCTCATACATCTGAGTTTTGATTATTCAGATTCGGTATGGACATGCTGTAACAAGACTGATGCTGATTCTTTGGAATGAGTGCAGTGTAGAGCAGCTAGAACTGTATACAAATCCACTCAGTGATATTGCTCACGAACGCCTAGGCTGGACTACTTTAGCTGAAAGACGGGACATGCATGTTTATAAGCTAGTTAACAAATGCTTGAAGGGAAACGTACCTCAGTTTTTAATGGATTACTTTAAATTTAATCGTGATAGAGTATCACAGCGTACAAGACAGAGTAATCAATTGTATGTACCTAGGGTTAAATTGGAAGCTGCAAAGAAGTCGTTTTACTATAACGGCTGCGTTGTATTTAATAAATTCTCAGATGTTACCAATGCTTGACTATGACTCTAAATACATTTTAACATTAAATATATTTCAATATAATGTAAATATAATTTTAGGTGTATCTTTACATTACTATTAGTATTCTTCCTTTGTATATTTTAACTTGTTGGAATGTAGGGCACCTGTGTCAGTTGTCCATTGTCGCCAGTGCTGCCTTCCTCGTTGCTCTGCCACCACTTCCATCTTCCCAAAACTCTTCACCCATTTTAATGAGAAAGTTACATAACTGACTGACTTGCACACCTTCCCATAAAACCCCTCCTTTACACGAAAATGTCCCATTTATGGCACTGCGAAAATTTTTGGTCACATTCACCTCTTCACAACATCACAAATGCTTCCCTAAACATTTTCAAACAAATTTAAACACTGCGTGCACTAATAGTGGTGAATACATATTTATATAGGATATTACGGGGGGTGCGAAGATACAACTTTTACGAACGAGTGCAGCGAGTGAGTAAAATATTGTTTTTAACACGAGAAGATAAAAATCATATATGCAAGCCACCATGTAATGTCTATCCTTGGTTTACTCCAACCTTGTTCCCAGCAACACATAAACAATTTGGACAAATATGCATGCTTCGAAATATGCTTCACAATATATCGCGAAGTGTTAAAATAATTTTGTTCTTTCCTTTCCTCATGCTCTTGGCTGGATCAATATCAGTATTTCATTACCATGAGGTGTTACATTTTTTAGGTAAGAATTGTCAAAGTGAACAACAATCCCTCTAAACAAGTACGGTTGTTCTGTGAACGTTTTGGCACACTCAAGATTAAGTACTATTAGGAGTGTTTTATCAGAAGCACACATAGGAGTGTTTTATCAGATATAAAACGCTCAGCTGCTTTCTGAAAGTTGAGGACGGTTTCTGCCAATAATCGCTTCTGAATCTGATGATTATTTATGCCACACACAAGACGATCAGACGATGTCTTCCAATGACTCACCAAAGTTACAATGTTCTGAAAGGTTGTGTAAACCATTATGAAATTTAAAACATTCAACAATCTCGGTTGGCTTTGGGTTATGTTTCTTTAATTCTTCGACGATTACTCTGATATCAGTATCAGCTGGTTTCTTGGGCAAGGGCACATCTGGGCACCTTGCCACTTAAAAGGTTAAACCGGCTTAGAACGAACTATTAACTAAAAAACTGTGTTCAAATGACATTTAAATAAAGTTTATAATGCCAGTTTAAGTTGTGTATTACACATTGTAACATGTGCATTAATAGTTTGTTATACTTTGTACTGTTTAATAAACGAGCAGGAGTGTTTTATTAGGTTTAAAGTGCGCGCTCGTGGCTTTAGACCTAATAAAACATGACCTGCGAGTTAATTAAATGGCTTCAAACACGACTACAAATTCAATAGATATACTACCTTATTAGTATTCTTTATATAAAGAATACTAATTAGGAGTGTTTTATCAGGTTTAAAGCCACTGCACGTGACATATTATGGTTGACATGATTTGCCAATAAGCTTATGAATTATTAATGAGTGTTTGAAATATAGTTTAAAAAACACCCTGATAAATATCTCAAATGAAAACTACAATGTCCAATACAGCATACAAATGGGGGGGGGGGCGGTATAAACTTTCCAGTATTTTATAAGGGGGTCTTCAACATTGAGATCATCAAAGGGGGGAGGGCTACAAGATTTTTGCATATGACATAAGAATCTTCCGCCCCACCCTAGGGTATAAATAATGAACGGTCCCTTATTTAAAAAATAAGTCAACAGGAAATTGTGAGCATTGCGCACATAGACAGGTTCCAATTTGTGAAAAATGACTGGCAAGGGGCATTTATGGGTAAAAGTTGGGAACCCATGTTTTTTGGGCAATTCAGGTATGCTGAACACGAATCTGTCGGTTCCAAAGAGAAATTCTGACGTTTTAACAGAAAAATTTCATATATACAATGATTGCTACTAATCCGTAGAAATTGTAGTATACTCATGATAGTGGAACTTTCATTTTTTGGCAATTTTATTGATCGATATAGAGCAAGTGACTACATCAAATACATCACACTGTTCTAGGGCCGGTTGTATGAAGGCCGCATAGTGCTATCCACCGGATAGTGATTTTTTGAACTTCGTAAAATTGTACGTTATTTAGTATGTATAACCTAGGTTAAAGATTATGTTATTTATAAGTTTAAGATTCATTTATTAATTGTGTGATCCACAGTTTAAAGCGTTTCAATCATTTTTATACCAGTTAAAAATTTGACCATACTGTGGATAGCGCTATCTGGCCTTTGTACAACCGACCACTGTATTTCGGTTTCTTATTCATGGAAGGTTCTTCATCACCACCACATTCACATCCACACAATGCCGTACACAACAGTTTCGCCTTTCTGCACTTGGATCGCTGACCTTTGCAGTGAGTGCAACAGTTACAATAGATCATCTCTAGTGAAGAAGCCGGGATTGCTTCTGCGCTCATAAGAACTGGTTTCAGTCCTGTGTCGGTCGTTTTCTATCCCCAATCAGATGGTGAAGGTAACTCTTGTATAGGATTGTGTGCTTTCTTCCATACAATGGATTGGTAATGCGCTCGCTTGATGTGATGGTGCAGAGCATCGCTAGTTGGTGGCAATGTCTCCCGTTTTCCTTTTTTGAAGAAGAGAAGATGTTGTGCTTCATTAACGGAACTTGCGTTGCTTGCGTTGTACAAATAACAGATGAATTTCTCTGCATTCTTGATACTTTCTTCATCGCAATGATCTTCACCCAAATTTTGCAGAAGAGCGTGATGTTCTTTGAATACTTTCCACGCGGATGCCTTTGTATGACCTGATATGTAGGATGTTGTATCACAGCCTGTAAGAGCATGGAAAGGAATCAGGGCTTGGAAACAACTTGTTGATAGGTTGCATGTAACATTGTGTATAGGAATGTACTTTTGCTTCTTAGACGTTCCCACTTTCATCCACAATTCTTTGCAGTGCATTCGGTGAAAATGTGACACCAGAATTATGAGGACATCGGTATCCCTTGTGGAAATTACCACAGCATCGTCAGTAACATTCATAGCATGAAGAGCAAGTCTAGTGTCGGCTTCTTTGTGGGTTGCATTTAGGCACAAAATCGGAGTTGTGGGTGTCGAAAAACACACTTCCAATTCATCTCTGAAGCCCCCTGCAGTGACTATTTCTTTGCTTTCAGGTGCTCTGGTGATTAGCTGCTCTGATAAGAATCTTGGTAGGTCAGCTTTATTTTCTGATAAGGCCATGAAATTTGACCAATTCTTCGGCAGCGGGACGTCACAATTATCTATTACCCATCATATTGGCTTCCTTGTCTTGCTGCATCTCTTTCGAGTACTTTCTTTTATGGAATATTCCCAACATCAATCAAAAACGACATCGATTCGTTGGCAGAACTGTCCAATTTGTAGAACAGCTAGAAAGAAAGCGTCTGGCATATCTCCAAAGGTTACGCTGTCTTTTGGCTTACCCAGAGAAACAACTATTGCTTGGCCGTCTATCACCATACATGACAATTTACCAAATAGATCAATTGTTGGTGGGCAGTCCAGTCCTTCCACTAGTTTTTCTATCTGAATTGCCTTATTGCCTGTGCGTAACGAACCATTAATTTCGGCAAGCGAAAGTGGGACGGGAAATAATTCATGCGACAATATCGTGGGCAAGTCGACTTGACAACCAATTTGATACGCAGTAATGAGCCGAACAAGGACATTTCTGTCAGCTTTCACCACTGTTTTCTTCTCTTGCTCGTCGCTTTTCCTAGGGATTTGACACAATACTGCCAGCTCTTTTCCCCGTTCCATCGGGATCAACTTGGTCAAACTTGTTGGATGAACATTTCACAACAAAGTTGCCATTAACAAACTCTTCTTTGACTTCATCTGGGAGTTGCTTCATTTCCCCAGCGTGCATAATTGAAATGGTCGTAGCGCATGAATAAAGGGATCATTTTCATGAAAGACGCCAAGTGTAAATCCCAAATACCTTCTCCGTGGGCATGTGTGAACAAAACCAAGGTTGAAACCATTTCAATATACTGCCACCAAAACGTAAAATTCGTGTTTTCGCTTTCCACTGAAACAAATTCTGCCAAAGTTTTGCAGTATTGTTCTTCTTGAAAAATGGAAACAAGTGCAGCTATCTCGTTGTCATCCTTCAGTACCGAAGATATTAGATTGTGTAGTTTGCTGTTGTTTTCTTGTAAGAATGACATTACTTTCGGCATCAAAATTCTCCACAAGGCTTGCACAGTTATCTTATGGGCATTGCTTTACTATAAGCCTTGCCAGAAAACACTAACTCCGCCGCTCCTTTCCCGAGTAAGCCACTTTCGATCCACGATCCACTTCCGGACATATGCTTTCCAATTACCTTGAGGAAATTCATCGAGATTTGTAAACCGCCCAATGGTACAATCAGGTTTTTGTTAAACTCTGGAATCTTCCACTTGAGCTCCATCAACTTGCAATACAGAGCTTGGTCTATGGTAATTACAGTGTAGGCTTGTCCAAAATGTTCTGTCACAAACATACATCTCCTGATGACAATGCTTAGTGTATCAAACTTGTGAGCAGGGGCAAGGATAATTGGCATGTGCCCAATAGATGTTTGCGGTGGATTGGTGGTGGAGTAGTTTTGGTTGAAACTGGTCCAACCAGGGTTTTGCGCACATTCTTGGCGATGAACAAAGAATGCTTGATGTGTCGCTTCTGCTTTTTGTTGTACTTCCAATTCGTTGTTGTCACTCTCAAAAAGATCGTTGGTGACTGGCTTTTGAAAAACAGGTTTTGTTTTTCCTTCAATGATTCCAACAGGAGCAACATCTTGTAGGATATCTGGAACTTTTAAAGTTTCAGCAGCAGATATCTCAACTGCAATGAGTGGATCCTGATTTCTGTTGTCACTTCTTTGATATGCAGTCATTTGGGTGGCATGGAAAGTGTACTTCCTGTCTAGTGATTCATCCAGAATATCAATATTATCTGCTGTAAAGTGAATAAACGTATTCAGAACAAAGTTCTCTGGTATGACTGTACCACTTGTGGGATCCATTGACTCCAATGTATTCTTGGCCAGCCAGGGCGGTATCGATTTTCAGTAGTTGCTTGTAACTAAGGCAATGACCTGCTTGATGAAACAGATTTACTAGATCTTTGGACCTTGTAGCCTGGTGAAGGGTACTTGTTAACCCAATATGTTTGGGTGTCCATTTTGTCTCCTTGCTGACACCGTAAATCAAATCTTGAGCAACATTCATGACCATTTGCCATGTCTTCTCTTCACTTTCCACTTCCAAATTGTCACTCTCAATAAGACGTTGACCTCCATATAAGAGAAAGAGGAACATATAAAGACTTTCTGGTATACAACTTATTGCATCATATTCACTCACTGACAATCATTTGTGACCAGCTTTTGTAACCATGTCTCCTCTTATCTTCAGAGTTATGTGGATAAGGGACAGAAACTTGTTCATTGGTATGAAATAGGTAATTGGACAAGTACTGGTGTAAGACATTGTGTAGCCTAAATAATGAGGACTAGTAGTTTAAATGGTTATCCTTTATTTATTTACTCCAACTCCTGTGATGGTGAACATGTACGCAAAAAAACAAGGGAAACTACGATTAGATTGTAACTGAATATGTGAATTTAATGTGACACAATGAGGGCGAGGATATACAGGGGGTATCATAAAAAATGGAGTCCTCGCTTCAAATATAAATTTCGAAACGAATATTAAAGCAAAACGTTCAGGTTTACATTTATTTTAAAGCGTAGACATTCAGCTTTTCAACGGTGGGTTGTTTCGTAAATATAATCCAGAAGTTCGTGAATAATAATATTTTAAGTGATTGCGATTGGAGAGTCAAAAATTTGAGATGCAATAACAAAACGGTACTTGCAAGGGTGGGTTGTAGCGAAGTAGTTGTAGTTCGCTACTGTAGCGAACTACAATTTTCAAGTAGCCAGTAGTTTTTGACTACTTTTTTAAAACAGTAGCTGTAGTTATAGCGAACTACATTTTGCCTAAAAGTAGCCAAGTAGTTGACTACTTTTCAAACAGCCTAAAACCGTTTTATTAGAAGTAGCAGTCCGAAAGTTATTAAGCACAAAATTTGGAGTCATATTACCATTATGGCATTAACCCATGCCATTTACCAAACATCCATGTTTGCAAGCACATATTGACATATACATTGTATGAAGCAAATATATTTACTGTAACACAGCAACAAGGCATGATTAAAGTGCGCACAAACATCCAATTTGTTTCTTTTCACTTGTGACAAGATCTGTGTGAACATCTGGTCCATGTGCATTACACCAAACTGTGGAGGAAGCTCCAAAAATCACCAATGCTCATTGCCAAATTTGTTGTTATATTTTTTAATTTCTCATCGAGAAACATTCGTCTTTCCAGGTTTTGTTCTTCGTTTATTTCTTTAAATGGGATTACCGCAATCCATGAAAACACTCTAATTTTTATGAAAGGAATGCGTTATTGATTTGATAGATAATTTTATCAAAAATTGTATGAAAAAAGTAAGATATAATACATGAATTATTACCTTGTCATCATTTGTTTATCACCTCTGAATTTTTTTGGAATCGAGTTAGGATTCATTCTTATCAGAGCATTGGTTCTTAACCTGGTTGCATGTTTATTGTGGGCTGTTTGCTTGATGGACTATATAATGTATATAAGAAAAACAAGGGGGGGAGGGAGAATTCCAAAATACTACCATAAAATTTGGCACCCCCGCCCCCCAAAAAAAAACGCATCAGAAAATATTTAATACACCCCCTCAAAGGAGATGAGATGTTTTGGATTGAAATTTCCTAAAAAGAAAATGTTTTATGGTACATAATATACTCTACCACTAAGTAATGACGTCTGTCTGTTTATATTACGGACAATAAATGTGTACCGCACCAATAAATGCGTACTGTACCAAAAAAATGTGTACTGTACCAAAAATAATATGAATAGAATGTATACCTGAAGATTTCTGTTTTGGATTTATTTCTGATGATTTTTTTGCATCGGGAAATACTGAAAACAACATAACATGACGCATTAACATGACTTATTAATGTAGAAATTATCAACATTTTCTTACATTAGAGATTAGAGAACAAGGAATGAGGGAATGTATAATATTTGTTTAAATGATCAGCAAAGAACATTTGCATACATTGTATTCATGTTCAATGTTAGGTAATAAGATAATTGGAAATGAAATACCGTATATGGAGACGGAAAATATAGAGACTGCGATTCGATCTATCTCAGACCTCTCAACTCTCACGCATTCGGCGTGAGTCTCATGCAATTCGCTTCACTCTCACGCCCTCACGCCACGTTTAGTAAATCTCACGCATATAGCAGTTTCATAGTATTTTTTTCAATAATATAATATTGTATTCTTAAATGCACATTATTAATCATTAGTATAATTACATAGGTGATTATTGAAAATTCTCCACGCTGATTGGTTGCCGTTGAGGTGATTATTACGCGATAATCACCTAAGCGATTTTCAAAATGGCGGCCGAAGTCGTTTTGTCAATTAAATGACGAAGAAATGTGCATTTTAATTTTTTTTTCCAAATAATCACCTATGAAATTATACTAAAACAATTATTCACCTCAGGCTTGGTGATTATCGTTAATAAAAACCTCGACTTCGTCTCGGTTTTTATTCACCGATAATCACCTCGCCTTCGGCGAATAATTGTTAATTATACGTATCGCGAATCGAATATATAATCGCGTTATTGTTCCTGCATATATACGGCCCGACATTTTGCCCGCAATTTGGATACAAAATAGTACGCATATGTAAATACGGCGGACAAAAGGCAGAATCAGTCGGAGCAGAATTCTATATGTAAATTATCAAAGGCAAATTAAAGCTCATTACTGTATGTTGCAGAAATACAGTTATTGTAACTACAGTGCCTTGTCTTAAAGGACGTTATGAAGCAATGTATTTCATTAAAAAACACCATGGCCAACTCTCATAATGTACGAAATGCCATTTCAGACCCCAGGACTTTTACAAAGGTGTCATGCACATCCCCAATCTCACTCTTAACTTCTCTGCAAAGTTGAGAGGTCTGCTATCTACTTGGAATTTTTTAACTAACCTTTTGTCCAAATTTTGAATTAGACCTTTGGGCAATTTCTTTCTTTGGATTTGTGATCCCTTGGGCTGCTGTTCACCAACATTTTTGTGAACACTGTTACATCCTAGATAAGATGTTCCAATTGACTTAACGCATTTTCCATCCCTTTATTACGTTTGCCGAGGTATTTCAAAGCATCAGCCACCTTGAATCCAAACACCTCTCCACAAGCTTGGGCGTAAAATTTCGGTTCAAATAATTGGCGTACCTAAATATGTTCAAATTTCATTCACGTTACTCTCTTGTTACTGTTTAACCTTGCTTTAGGTTTTAAACGGTTCGAGATAGATACAACATAACAGTCAATATTAAGATTACCATGCAGTATATTGAATGAGTAACGGACGTGTTTCATATAATTTAGGAATTATAGACAACGCCAAAATTAAGAAAAACTGGCCGTATGGCATATCAAATAGTGACGTTCATAAAACGTGATATTTTTATTGCATTGAATTAGTCATAATTGTTTCAGAGTCAACATTTTTTCCTCCAAAAACCTTGCATGAGCTATAGGCTATCATGTAACTTACCTCAAATGGATTCTCACTAGCGCTTGTGACTATAGGAAGTAAAATTGCCATCATGTCATTTGTTGGTGTGTGAGCTACTCTTAAAAGCTGCGTATCGGTGAGAGTAATGTTTTTGTAGTGCTAACTACATTACAGAAAAAGTCCAGCAGTCCAGGAAACAAATGTTCTTTCAATCCCACCTTGTCTAGCATCTAATGAGAAGAAATAGAAAAATAATTACGTGCTTAGCATGTGGTTCAATAAAAATTATCTCAAATACATTTTACTTTTAGGATAATGTGTGCTAGTTAAAACATTTGCAGCTCATCTGGTGATCTTTATCTGATATGCAAACTCGAGCTGAAGGCAATAGTTTCTATATGAGATAAAGATCAGATGCAAATTAATGTTTTAACGTTTTGGCCATGCCATTAGGAAAGTTTTCAAGTTGCATGGATTGAATGATTGTGGCTATACCTTTCCTGTTGAGTACAGCAACAAGGCATGATTAAACTGGGCACAAACATCCAATTTGTTTCGTTTCACTTGTTGTGACAAGATCTGTGTGAACATCTGGATGCTGTGCATTACACCAAACTGTGGAGCAAGCTCCAAAAATCACCAATGCTCTTTGCCAAATTTGTTGTTATATTTTTTAATTTCTGATCAGGAAACATTCATCTTTCCAGGTTTTGTTCTTCGTTTATTTCCTTAAATGAGATTACTGCAATCCATGAAAACACTCTAATTTTTATGAAAGGAATGCGTTATTGAGTTGATAGATAATTTTATCAAAAATTGTATGAAAAAAGTAAGATATAATACATGAATTATTACCTTGTCATCATTTGTTTATCACCTCTGAATTTTGTTGGAATCTAGTTAGGATTCATTCTTATCAGAGCATTGGTTCTTAACCTGGTTTATTGTGGGCTGTTTGCTTGATGGACTATATAATGTATATAAGAAAAACAAGGGGGGAGGGAGAATTCCAAAATACTACCATAAAATATGGCACCCCACCCCCCCCCCAAAAAAAACGCATCAGAAAATATTTAATACACCCCCTTGAAGGAGATGAAATGTTTTGGATTGAAATTTCCTAAAAAGAAAATGTTTTATATTACATATAAGTAATGACGTCTGCCTGTTTATATTGAGGACAATAAATGCGTACCACACCAATAAATGCGTACTGTACCAAAAAATGCGTACTGTACCAAAAATAATATGAATAGAATGTATACCTGAAGATTTCTGTTTTGGATTTATTTCTGATGATTTTTTTGCATCGGGAAATACTGAAAACGACATAACATGACGCATTAACATGACTTATTAATGTAG